TAAAATCACCACCTCAACAAACGATTTTGCTTGCAGAAGTGACAAAGAAAAATCGCCACGTCAGCAGACGATTTTGCATTTTAACATGGTAGAATCGTTGGCTGATGTGACAATTTTTTTGTATTTAGAATAATTTATTGTTTTGGCCGTTTATTTAAAATAATAATCTTTTTAAAAAAATTATATTTTTAAAATTTTGTGAATTTTAAATTACTTGTCAAACAATAATATAACATTGATCAATTATTAATCAATTGTATAAATTAAGAATTACTTAAAATTTTATTAATTAATTAAAAATTTTTAAACTATTTTTTCATTAATTAATTATTAAATAATTACATTTAATTTTATCCAATTATAATTAATTTATTAATATATGAATTAATTATTATTTATTAATCTGTTAAAATAATAAAATTAACCTGTAAAAATAAATTAAAACCACAATACTATCATTGTCTTCCCTCTTTGGTCGAAACCCTCGCCTACATCCTCCCCTTCTCTCAGTTTTGCTCAAACTTCCCTTTTCCACCTAAACCCTCGCTTCTTCCCCATCCTGGTTTCGCTCAAATCCATGCCTTCGTGAATGAGCGTTTGCAATACAGTCGCTAGTAGAGCTAGCCGGGAAGACGACAACGGGATCACGGCTTACAGAGACCATTGAAACTCACATCTTTCTCATCACTCTCCTCCTACTAGAAACCATTGAAGAAGGTAAGTCTGTTCGTGCGATTCTTCCTCTTTGCTCATTCTAGATTTATTAAATTCGCCCATTCACGGGATTTACTAGATCCCAGATTTACGACGAATCAGTGTCATTTTGGGATTTACCAAATCTCAAGATTTATAGAGGTGCATTTTGCCATTTGGCAGGATTTAGCATAAATTCTGCTTAAAACCAGCTACCAAACAACCCCTTAGACTAATGTAGACCTCGATAATTAAAATGTTTTCTGAACTCTCTCTAGTCTTATCCACAAGAAGGATATCATAAGTGAAAAACATACACCAGGGTATATCCTCCTTTAAGCATCCATAACTAAAGCAAAAAAATATAGGCTTGAAGCCGATCCCTGATTTAATCCAACTAAAATAAGAAAATACTTGGTCAATTTTGTTTTTGTTCGAACACAAGTAACAAATCTAGTATACATATCTCTTATGATTTGAATATATGTCATCAACACCTTTTCTGGAACTCTCCAAAGAACTTCTCTTTGATCCTTATTGTAAACCTTTTCCAAATCAATAAAAATTATTGTAGATCCTTCTTATTCTCTCAGTACTTCTCTATCAAACCTCTTAAGAAATGTATAACTTCCATGGTAAACTTGCTCGACATAAATCCAAACTGATTATGAGAAATCTTAGTATCACGTCTTAACCTATGTTCAGTTACCCTCTATGCACAACAACTTAATTCCTCTATAATTTGCACTCTTATGCATCCCCTTTATTATTAAAAATTGGGTTCAAAATACCCATAATCCACTCCTAAGGCATTAGTTTTTAAAATAATATTAAAGAGTTTAGTAAGCCAAGAAACTCCCAGATATTCTAAATATTTTCACACTTCAATTGGGACATCATCAGATCCTACTGATTTTTCACCTTTAGTTTCCATTAAAGGCCTCATAAACTACTTTTTTTCTAATAAGACGTATTAATAAAAAGTTTTATTATTATTAACGACATTAACATCACTAAGATTTATTATTATTTTATTAATTTTTTTTTAAATTCATTGAAAAGTTTATCAAAATATCTCACCCACCTATGTTGAATCTCTCTCTTTGAAAAACACTTTTTGATTTTCATCTTTAATATACTTTACTTGAATTAAATATTTACTTGTCTCTTTTGTTCATTTGGTTTGTTTATATATATATATTACCATTTTTAGTATCTATTCTCTTATAAAGAACATTAAAAGCAGAATTCTTAGCGTCTTAAATTGTTCTCTTAGATTGTTTACAAGTACCTTATATTTTTTTTAGTTCTATAAGCTTTTACATTTAAACCAATTTTTATAACAAAATTTCTTATATTTTATTTTTTTTTGAGCATTATTATTCCATCAACAATTTTTATTTATAAAAAAATTTACTTTTGATTCTCCAACTACATCTTTTGTCACTTAATAATGCTTGTTACCATTTCCCCCAAGAATTAACTTTTTCATGAACACCCCAAATCATGAAATTTTAAACTTTGCTCATAAGAATAATTTTATTTGTATATTTTAGGTATCCCAATCTACTTCTATGACAATGTTTTATTGTATTTTTTATCTTCCATCTCCTCGTCTTACAATCAAAACAATAATTGATGTTAAGCACTTAAACTTTTGCTTGGAATTACTTTGCAATTTTTACATTTTTTACAATTTCTTTTTCTCAATAAAAAAAAATCAATATGTGCTTTATTGGATTATTGTTATGAGTAATAATATGTTTATCTCATATCTCAAATAAAGTATTAATAACAAAATCATAAGTTAAAGCAAACTCTAATATGATTCTCTATTTATCATTAATTACTCCGAAATCGTTGCCAACATGAATATTTCGAAAATTTTACTAATCTACCAACATGCTCATTTAAATCTCCTCCAATAAAAATTATTTCTTTCAGAGATATTATTTATATTAAATATTCTAGGTTATTCCAAAATTTTACTATTGAATTTATATCTAAATTTATTTGAGCATAAACATTTATAACATTAAAATTGATACTATCAATAAGAAATCCTTATTGCTATAATTCTATCTATAATTCTATTGATTTTTACAACATTATCTTTCAAACCCTTATCTATAAATACACATACACTTTCTAGTGCGAGTCCTACCTGAATATAAAAGTTTAAAACCTAAGTTGTCAAATATCCTTAGACCTTTCTCCAACTTATTTATTTTCTTGAATAAATAAGATATTTTTCTTTTTATGAACTATAAAATCTACTAATTTCATTAATTTACTTGTGAGTACCAATATTATAATATTCTATCATGATATTAGTTTCATGGACTAACTTCTTTGTCTGCATCCGTTCATAATCTGAGAACCTTTGTTTAGAAATGTCATTAACGTCCAAGTGAGTATGGTAGAAATGAGCACCTTAAGATTGTTGTTGTGTGGCAAAACTAGAATAATTAATTAATGTGTAATTATAAAGATAAAATAATAAATATTTATATTACATGACATGTTGGAGTGAAATCTATTAACGGCTAGAAATAAACTTGTATATTTTGGACATGTGCAATGAAATGTAAAAGATTTGTGCATTAGATGAGTTGATTTAATGCTGAACCATTAATAAGGAATTAACCTATACCCAAATTTATAGGGATAGAAGTTCAAAACTACATCTTATAAACTTTAGACCACTCGATATGAAGAATGAATAATGAGGACCTATAATGCCATTCCTAAATAATTTGGTGAAAACTAATGATGTTAATGATGATGATGATTGTTGAAAATAGAAAAAAAGGAGAAGAAGAAATCTAAAGACTATGCTGTATCTACTATTGGTTTTGTGGTGACTCCTGCATACATTTTGTAGTTATGATGGCATGCAAGGGCACATATTGTCTTCTTTTTTGGTGATAGTTATAATAGACTGTCGATTTTGTGCCACTAGCTTAAAAAAATTGTGAAATGCATAACAATTTTCCCAAAGCACGATAGTTTAAAATTTATAATCACATACGTTAATGTAATTTCTGGAAATCGATAAGAAAAGTAACTTTGGCCGAATTTTAGAAAATTAGAGCCTATAGGAGCTGGAGAGTATAAAAAGGATGATATACTACAATTTCTATGCAATAACAATGATCAGAGTAACTGAATTTACATATATTTTACTAATTTAAAACGAAAATAGAATAATATTGAAAAAAGTGAGTAATCAATATAGATTTTTTAAAACTATCGCAAACTTAATTGCAAATAATTTTTGCAATCAAAACAAGCACAGCAAAGAAACTAAAATCATTTTGCTTAAGATTCCTTTTATAACACAGTTGGCCCATTTGTTTGAACAGAATTTTCTGGGATTGCGTGAGGTGAAAAGTTGGCACCTCACCATGTAAGAGCGCATAAGGTAAAGGCAGCAAAACTTCAGCATCTTGATTCTATCATTAAATCTGTCAACGTTTTAGGAATGAAATCATCATTCATCATTAGCCTTATCTTTAACTATTTGGGATCAGCTTACGTTGAAATGAAATATGATTATAAATGTTTTTGTTGTTTAGGCTATTGTCAATGTGATTGGTTTTATCTTAATTTTCAAATAAGATAAAATAGACTAGTATTTTCGTTTAATACTATTTATTCAACTGACATTTATGTTGATGAAACAGTGAAAATTCTGTCCTATATTCTAAATGCGAAATGAATATATCCTTGATAGGGTTAGTGTAGCTCCATTGACAGACAAAATTAGAGAGCGTTGTCTTAAATGGGTTGGTCACATTAAATGTCGACCATTTGATGATCCGATTAGAAGAGTAGATGCTTTAGATTCGGTCTATGTTAAGAAAGGCAGAGGTTGACCTAGGATGACTTGTATAAAAAATGATGTTAATTTATTAGAATTAAATGAAAATATGGCACTAAATATGAGGCAACGGAGAAAAAAAGATTCATTTAGCTGACCCCACTTAGCGGGATAAAGGTTTTGTTGTTGTATAAATTTTTTTCCTAATTTGATTAGCTTATGCATCAATACTTTAGGGGAGGTTGATGTGATAAAAATTTTTCCTAATTTGATTGGTAGCCTACTAGCCTTCAATGTAATTTTTAATTAGATAGGCCTATGCCTTGAATTCAATTCTCTGCTTTATTTCCTATAATAGTATTTTCTTTTGTCTATCAACTTTATTCTTCATTTGTGTCTATAGTCATTATTGAATGCTCAATGGTCAGGTTTTCAAAAACTTCATACTTTGATTAACTTTCTTGTTGTTTTTTCTTATGAGCAGGAACATTTTGCAGCTGTCCGTGATGAGTTCAGAAGTGAAGTAGAACTTCTTGCTAAAATTGAACACAGAAGCTTAGTGAGATTACTTGGTTACACTGAAAAAGGAAATGAACGAATTATTGTTACCGAATACGTGCCAAATGGTACTCTCAGAGAGCATCTTGATGGTAAGATAGACGACATCATTTTTTCATGAACTATTCTTAAACTTTAACGAGTAAATATCATTCAAGTTGAATTTCACAGGTCTGCACGGACAGATTTTAGATTTTAATCAACGACTTGAAATAGCAATTGATGTTGCACATGCATTGACATATCTCCATCTATATGCAGGTACAGATTTTATTGGTACAACAATCATCTTAATGAATAAAATCTGATGAATACTTGCTTTTACTATCTCAGCTCATATTGTAAAACTAAAAGTGTGAAGTTTGCACAATATTTAAGACAATATATGCCTTTGATAGTGTTTTCTTCCCTGGAGAGCATTTTCCTGGGTGCTTTTATTTATTTAGGAGTAAAAACACAAAATAGTCCCCTGATTCTTAAGAAGTGTCCAATTTAGTCCTAAAGTTTTAGAATGCTTCAATTTAGTCTCAAACTTTTAAAAGTTGCTCCAAATTGGTCCTAATTGATATTTTCTGTTAAATTTAACGGTAACTTGCATGAATAGAAGGGTATTTTTGTCTTTTAAGTAATTATTCAAAATTTATGTGGTTTGTATTTAAATCTCCATTTTTTGTGTTGTTGAAAAATTATAATTTTTAATTTGCATAATAAGTCTCTTCACAGTGGTAATCACCTTTTTTTCAAATGAAATTTTTTGTTGGATCATTGTTCGAATACAATCTTATTAACACTATCATTGTCTGGTTTGAAGCCCTTGATGCAAAAAATGGAAAATTGCGTTAAATAGTTGACAACCAGAATAAAATTTATCAAAAAATTATGACATGAATCCTTTAAATACTTTTGTAATTGCTAGGGCGTCCCTTGGAAATGATGTGTTGTATGATTTGAATACATTTAAAAGTGTGCAAGAGCCGCTACATCGGCGCTCAGGTGTAGTGTCAAAAATGCAAGGATTCCCACATTACAAATGGATGGTGGTAAAATAGTTAGTCTCACATATATTATGATAAGACCTTGGAATATAAGTACTCTCACATATAAATTAATGAAATTAGTTAATACTATGATTCATAGGAAAATAAATATCTTATTTATTCAAGAAACTAAATGAGCTAGAGAAAATTCTAAGGAGATTGCTAGTTTAAGTTTTAAACTTTGGCATTGAGGTAGGGGCCGCACTAGAAATTTAGGTGTAATTATTGATAAGTTTGAAAGATAATGTTGTAAAAAATTAATAGAATTGAATATTAAATTATTGTCCTAAAGATTATTATTAATACTATGATTTTTTATATTATAAGTGCTTATTCTCCTCAAGTAGGTTTAGATTTATGTTCAAAAGAAAAATTCTAGAATGACTTGGAAGAATTAGTATAAATGATACCTCTTGAAGAAAGAACTTTTAAATTTAAATGGGCATGTTGGTAGAGTAGTGAAAGATTTTAAAAATATTAATGTGGTTACGGTTTTGGAGTGATTAATGAAGAATGTAGAACCATATTAGATATTGATTGAGTGTATGATTTTGTTATTACTAATATTTTATTTAAGAAAATAGATGAACATATTATAATTTATATGAATGGATTTAATAAAACACCAATTGCTTATTTTCTTATGAGAAAAATAGATCATCGAGAGTGTAAATATTGTAAGGTAATTTCAAGTGAAAATTTAAGTATTCAATATCGATTATTAGTTCTAAATTTTAAGATGAGTTGCAAGATAAAAACTACAGGAAAACAATGTCATAGAATTAAATAGGGGCACCTAAAAGACAAAAATAAAATTATTTTTATGATTAAACTTCAAGATTTCAAGACGGGAGATGTTCATGAAAAGACGAATTCTATGTTGGATAAAATAACAAATATTGTTCAACAAGTGACAAAATATGTACTTGGAGAATCAAAAGAAAAGTTTGTATACATAAAAATTGTTGGTGGTGGAATAATAATGTGTAAAAAATGATAAAATGTAAAAAGTGTTATAAAAATTAGTTTAAATGTAAAATCTTAGAGAACTGAAGAAAATATAAGATGGCCCGTGAAGAGTCTAAGAGAACAACTTGTGATACTAAAAATTCTATTTTTAGTGACATTGATAATAAATTAGGTACTAAAGAGGATGAAAATTCTATGTATAAAATAGTCAAATGAAAGAGAAAAAAAATGTAAAAAAATTCAAGTGAAGTGTATTAAAGATGAAAATCAAAAACTGTTTTTCTTAGAGGAAAATATTCAACATAGATTGATGAGCTATTTGGTAAACTTTACAATGAAGGTTCTGAAAATACGATCGACCTTAGTGATCTTAATATCATTAATAATAATAACAAAACATTTTATTTTTATCATTGCATTAGTGAAAAAGAACTTGAGGCGACTTTAAAAAAGTCAAGAGTGGAAAATCAGGACCTGATGATATCCCAATTGAATTGTAGGGTTATTTAGGAGATTTAGGGATTTTTTTGGCTTACTAAACTCTTTAATATTATTTTAAAAATTAAAAATATGCCGAAGGAGTGGAGGATGAGTATTTGAGTTTCCATTTTTAAGAATCAAGGGGAATTAAGTTGATGTGTCATACTTTAAAAATATTGGAGAGGGTAATTGAACATTGGTTAAGACATGATATAAAGATTTCTCGTATGGATTTACACCAAATAGGTCTACTATGGAAGCTATACATTTATTAAGAGATTTGATGGGAAATTACAGAGAGAATAAGGAGGATCTACATTTTATTTTATTGATTTAGAAAGATTTACACCAAATAGGCCTACTATGGAAGCTATACATTTATTAAGAGATTTGATGGGAAATTACAGAGAGAATAAGGAGGATCTACATTTTATTTTATTGATTTAGAAAATTTTATGATAAGGTTCCAAGAAAAGTCTTTTGGAGAGTTCTAGAGAAGAAATGTGTAGATATGACTTACATTAAAGTCATTAAAAATATGTATACTAGAGCTGTTACTTGTGCTCAAATAGGAGGATTGACCAAATTTTTTTCTATTCAGTTGGATTACATCAGGTATCTACTTTAAACCCAAATCTTTTTGCTTTAATTATGGATGCTCTTATTGGACATTTACAGGATGAATTTACTGGAGGATATATCTTGTTCTTGGTGTATGCTTTTCACTGATGATATACTTCTTGTGGATAAGAGTAGAGAAAGAGTTAAAGAAAAAAAGTTAATTATGGAGGTCTACATTGGAGTCAAAAGGCCTTCGTGTGATTATATCTAAAACTGAATACATGGAATGCAATTTTAGTAGTAGTAGCTCTAATGGCAGGGTTGTAACTATAGGTGATCAAGTCATTAAAATGTGTGGTCGTTTTAGATATCTCGGGTCTATTGTTTAAAGTGATGGTGATATAGATGAGCATTTTTGTTAATAGAATTCAAGTTGGTTGGTTGGTTGAAGTGAAGTGTATGCATTGGGCCTATTTTGTGACAGAAAGGTTTCACTTAGACTGAAAGGAAAATTTTATAAGATGGTGGTGAGACCTGCAGTGCTCTATGGCGCATAATGTTGGCCTTAAAAAAGTGAAACATAATACAAAGTTAGGTATTGTTGAGATGTGAATGCTTAGGTGGATGAGTGGCTTGACACTTAGAGACGAAATGTGAAATGAATATATTCGTGATCGAGTTGGTGTAGCTCCAGTGACAGACAAGGTTAGAGAGAGACATTTTAGATAGTTTGGTCACATTAAATGTCGACGTTCGTTTGATCATGTTAGGAGAGTAGATGTTTTAGATTCAGTAGATGTTTTAGATTCCACAGTAGATGTTTTAGATTCCACTTATGTTAAGAAAGTCAGAGGTAGACCTAAAAAGACTTAGGTATATTGTTTAAAAATCGTTTTTATTCTGTTAAAATTAAATGAAATATGACCCTCAATGGGTCGCAGTGGAGAGAAAGGATTCCTGTTGACGATCCCAGTTAGTGGGATAATGGTTGTATATATATATATATATATATATAATATATATATACATTTATATATATTAGTATTTTGCCATCAATTTCATAATTTTGTTATTAACGTACATAATATTTAAACGTAACATAAATTCATTCATTAATTATATAATTTAATTTTAACTTTTTTAAAATATATTTTCTAATAAATAATATTAAAATAAAAAAAATCAATTGAAATTGAGTAATTCATATAATTTCAGGTTGAGTGAGCTCTTAGTGCATTATTGTTGATTACTTTAAAATTTTTCATTTGAAAAGAAGTGATGATTGTTGTTAAGAGATTTATGAATGCAAATTAAAAATTATAATTTTCAAAAAATAAATAAAAAGAAGATTTGTATGCAAATCATATAAAATTTGAATAATTACATAAAAGACAAAAATATCCTTAAATTCATGCAGGCTTAAATATAAAGGAAAATATGATTTTAAGTCCAATTTGGAGCATCTTTTATTAGTCAGGGAATAAATTGGAGCATTCTAATACCCTGATACTAAATTGGACACTTCTTAATAGTTGGGGAACTATTTTGAGCTTTTAATAGTATATCCGTGAAATCTTGATTTTTTATACTGAAGCATTTATCTTCTCCCACTCTTAACCGTCGAAAACTTCAGATGCCTCTCCAAACACCACTCCATTTATAGTCTCGGATCTCCTATTCTAAACTCTGGAAACGTTTGCTATGCAATACTTCAACAATTGCCAAATGTTGTCTGAATTTGGCATATTTATGCCATGTTGAATTGAAGTACGCATAATGTTGTTGTTTAGTAAGTTATGGTTCCTAGAATGATGGATGCTACACCCAAAATGAATAAGATACTGGATTATGGATAATTCTCTCTGAGTCATTTGGCACGTGCATCAAATGTAATTTTAAATTTGGATCTTGTATTTAAGTCGGAAGAGTAACTACTTTCACTAAATGAGCGAAATAAATATTTATTACATTATAATATTTTTTTGTTACCTATATTAGATAACAAAATGATTTTTAAGGTTGTGGATTGAGTCTAAATCTTTTGTAAACAGAACTATTAATACCATGCATCATTTACTTCTTTCTTTTTTTTAATTTTTATTTTGTAATTTGCTTTTAAGCTCCAAGCTTTAGAAAAACCACTAATCCTGCCAAAAAAAATTTCCTTTTTTTATAATTTATTTTGCTGTTATTCTGGTGGGACTCATTTAACCCATCTATTTATAACATTTTAAACAGAAAAGACAATAATCCACAGAGACGTGAAAGCATCGAACATTCTGCTTACTGAAAGTTTTAGAGCCAAGGTATCTGACTTTGGGTTTGCAAGAATTGGGCCAACGGAAGCAGGACAGACTCATATTTCAACTAAAGTAAAAGGAACTGCTGGGTACCTTGACCCTGAATATCTAAGGACTTACCAACTCACACCCAAGAGTGATGTATTTTCGTTCGGCATATTGCTCATTGAAATACTTTCTGCCCGTCGTCCTGTTGAAATGAAGAGATGCTTCGAGGAAAGGATTACTCTCCGATGGGTAACAACTGGCACCGCCTCTTTAAAAGTTCATTTTGTGACTCCAATATTTAAATTCTTATTGCAAAAATAGTTATCTCCTTTAATTTGTAATTGTTGAATTGTTACAGGCTTTCAGGAATTTCAATGATGGAAATGTGAAAGAGGTGCTGGATCCCAAGTTACAAGAAAATGTAAACCTTGAAGTAGTTAGAAAGATGCTTAGTTTGGCCTTTCATTGTGCTGCTCCTACTCGTGCAAATCGGCCATTAATGAAAGAAGTTGGAGAGCAGCTGTGGGAAATACGGAAGGACTTTGGGAATTCTCTTAGGACTTGTTGAAGGAGCTCTCATTCAATTTCCAGAGGAGATGAAACCTTTGAGATCATCCGATTTACTTCATCTTTTCCGTCGTTTCTGAAATGATAACTTATCATTCTTGTGAGTTTTAATCTTGTCACCAAAGATAATCTTAGTGTATATTGAGAGGTGAAAAAGGCCTTTTATATTTTGGTGTGTTCAATATTTTTTAACATCTTTATTGTATTATGTTTTTCCTTTTTTATTTTATTATTGTTTTAATTATTAGCAAAAAAAATTATTATCAATCAATAATAAAAAACACAAGTAATTAAAAATTATTAATTGTTAAAAGAGTTATGATTTAAAACAAAATTATAATATTAAGGCTAACTAGATGGTAATGAACTAAGAACCACCGGCTTCAGAAGAGAACAACAATTAAGCGTCTTTATGTCTGTTAAATTTTGGATTGTGTGTGTTTTATTTTTGTCAATTACCTTTTCATTCTAGATATAATATTCTTAAGAGATTGAGAAGTTGGATGACTAATATTTTCACTCAGAGGATTCTCATGAGCATTAGCATTTGGGGGGCCTTAATAAATGATCATGTATGAATGTGCAGTGTTGATTGCCATGTTTTTGTATGCATATGTAGTTACGAATAGGACCTTAAATTATAAACAATTTTCAATACTCTCCTTCAAGATTGACAAAAGATATTCACTAAACCCATCTTGTGACATAATCTAGATATATCTAATGAGCTAAGTTCCTTGGTGAGACAGTCAGCTGCTTGTTCTTTAGTAGTTTTATGATTTATCTCCAATAGTTCACTATTTTGTGTATACCTGATGAAGAACCTATCAATCTCCATGTGCTTGGTTTTCTCGTGTTGCACCGGGTTGTTGATAATGTTGATTGCTGACTTGTTGGTGCACCACAATTTCGTTTGAACTCCTTGGTCCACCTTGAGCTCTACTAATAATGTTGTCAATCGTAATAAGTCAGCAACCTCTAAGGCAATAGCCATGTACTCAGCCTCCTGTAATCAGCTCAACTAGCCTAATCAAAGTCACAAAATCAGCAATGCTAAATACTCTTTTTTTTTTTTTTAAGTTCAACCCCTTCTCTAGTGCACTCTTTAGGTATCTCAGAATTTGATACACTAAATTCATGTGACCCTTCCTTGAATCATGCATATATCGACTCACAATGCTTATTGTAAAGGATATGTCGGAATGAGTATGACTCAATTTGATGAGACACCCTACTAATCTCTGGTACCTCTCATGATCAAGTGTCTTTTCTGCCTTTGTGCTCAATTTTCCCTTTTGATCAATTGGTGAAACTACAAGCTTGCTTCCCAACATGTCTGTCTCTGTGAGTGAGTCGAGCATATACTTCATCTGAGATAGAACAATCCTCTCTACTCCACGAGCCACCTATATCTCAAGGAAGTATCATTGTTGTCCTAGGTGCTTCATCCCAAACTCTTTGCCCAAACTTACCTTTAGCTGAGCAATCTCTCTTTCATTATCACTAGTTATAATCATATCATCCACATACACAAAAAAAATAATCATGTGACCATATTATCATTGAAAGAAAACTTTGCTGTCGTCATTGATCTGTTGATTGCTCATTCTTACCATTGCTCTCCAGAACTTGTCAAACCAAGCTCAAGGAGATTGTTTCAAGCCGTACAGTGACTTCCTCAATCTACATACCTTGCCCATTGTTTAGTGCAAATGCCTCATCATTGTTGATGGATATATCTGACTGTACCCTTTCCCCAACAACTATGCGTTGTAGTGATCAATCTTTCAGAGGTATGCTTCACTATGAATACCTATTTGCGCTCGACTGCCTTCTTCCCTGCTGGTAGCTATGAGAGCTCCCACACATGTTCTTATTAAGAGCACCAAGTTCCTCTAACATGACAACCTTCCACTTTGGATTCTTCTTAGCTACCTACGAACCTTGGGTGTAGAGATATGTCCAAAGATGTTATAAATGTTCCGTGTAAAGGTGATAAGCTTGGATATGAGACAAAATAGACAATCTCATGTGATAAACCAAAACAATCAGGACGATGAACTCCATTGTTGTGAAAGATCCTCCTTAAATTTATGGGAGTGGAAGGAGAAGGGAGAAGAATTATATCATATGTGTAATTAAATTTCAAGGTTGATGGTGTAGGGTTCTTAAGAATGAGGGTATACCAGAGCCAAAGACTTATTGGCACAAGTGACATGACATACACTATTCCCTTATTCTACTTTCTCCCCAATCTCTTACCATCACTACTATCCTCCTCTAGTCTCATACCTCTAGTATCTTGTGAGTCACCAAATCGTGAGGTCACCTCTGAGGTGTGGTATGGTTCGAATTTTTTAAACATCACATCTGTACTCACAAATTGTCCCTTCTCTATTGGGCTCTAACAAACATAACCCTTCTGAGTGACATAATAACCAATAAAAATACACTTCACAGCTAGAGGATTCGACTTCTCAATTGATAGTTTGTTATACTTTACCAAAGATACATATCCAAATACCTTCAATGGGAGGATACCTCCATTATCTCCTTTCAATAGCTCACAGGGAGATTGTCACTCCAAAACTCTTAAGGGTTTTCTTTTGATCAATTGAGCAGTTGTCAAAACAGCTTGCCCCTACAAGTGCTTTAGGATATTCTTTGAAATTGTCATGACTCGGGCTACCTGAAGAAGGTATCTATTAATCCTCGCTTCTACTCAATTTATGTTGGTTTGTATAAACATGTGGTTTGTTGTTGTATCACTTGGGCTGATAGGTACTCTCCAAACAAACAAAGACAAATACAAAAGACTCCATAGAATAAATAAAGAGTTTCTCTTGCACTTGTCATGTAGCAAACTTCTCTTAGATCCTCCTCCATCACTCTTTACTCTAAATTTCAAGGATGAATCCATCCCCTCTCTATCCAAGTACCAAAGTACACTATGCCATGTGTCAGTCCCAACTCTCCGACCAATCCCCTTCTCTTGAAAAATCACATTAGGAATATTAAATGAAACAATATATTTTAGTTAGAGTATAATAATACTAATAGATAAAAAGTTCACTAGAAAGAATAGAGCATGTAAACTATTAGACATAGTCATAGAATTGGTAAACCTCATCGTATCCTTTCCAACTAGAGGCTGTGTTGTACCATCATTAGTCTGAATTCTCTCTGGAACTGCAAGATGAGTATAGAAGAAACTCACTAGCGACACTTGTCATACACTGAGATGCACCAGAATCTTTTATCCATTCTAGTGATATTTTGGTGGATATAGAGGCAAGAGAATGTGTATCACGAGTACATCTAGTTGAGTGGGAATAAGTAGAAGTATTTCCCTTGGATGAAGATAAGGCAGATGCATGCTTAATCACATCACCAGCTTCTCTTTTCTTCCTCTTCAACATCTCGAAGAACTTGTGATCCTCATCAGTAAATATAACTACAGTCTTTCCCTTGTTCTTTGCTATGATCAGATTTTCCCGGTAGCCCCCTCTTCTACCCCTTTACCCCCCATAATTATGACCACGACCTCTAGATTATCCATATTCTCTCTTTGGGTGGCTTTCGTTAAGCCTTTCTTAGGTGTCCCACTTCTCCACGGTTATAACACCTGTGGGTCTCCCTTCCGACACCTATCATACTTGAACTTGAGGCAGCCAAGGGTGATCTCATGCCAGGAAGTCTACTTAATTTAGATTGTAGCCTCATGCGACTCTCCTGTATCATCGCTGTGATGACCTCTTCCAGTGAAGGAATTATTGCTTGGGCTAGGAAGATAAATCTTCCCTGATCAAAGCCCAGGTTTAGATGAGCAAGAAATTTCATATTTCTCATATGTACATAGATCTATTTGTTCTTACATCCCAAATCACCATAGCTTGACATAGATGAGAAATGATTAAGATCTTGCCACAACCACTCTAGCTCTATGGAATATTTGTGAAACGATCTATCACCCTGTACCATCGTCTCTATGTCAGCCTAAATCTGTAACACCCTCATGTACTTATCAATCCTAGCATAGGCCCCTTTATCTTTGCCAAAATGTCCTTCACTTTTTGAATGTCATCCACTAATGACACAATTGATAGAACCATTGAGTTGAGAAGCCATGTGTTAAGTAAGGTGTGTGTGCTCCTCCATTCACCCCCTTAACACTGTCACCCTCTAGCTCAGCCTTAAATCACATTAGATATCCCTCTAGTCTTCTTGTTACTATAAAAACCTTGATCCGACTCAACTAACTCAGATACATGACCGGTACATCAAGTTTCAGATCCATAAGAGAGAGATTTAGCTTCACTTGCATTGGAGTATGTGCTGAGGTAGTGTCCCTCGTTGAGATGTTAGCTCCTTGTATGACTGTGATCATGACCTTCAGAACTTCAGGATCTAACTTCTCTAAAATTTTCAATTCTTTATCTCTTGTAATATATATGTCTCCTAACATCTCAACCACATGGATCTAAGTCTAGATCACACAAATGATGGAGCAAGACAACAACAGAAGCCGCACAAGTTCTTGTTGACACCCTCTTTTACCTTTCCTTTCTAAATCTTTTCTCTATTTCGTGATTGCAGTTTTTGGGATACAGTCATATATAGGCTAGCGAGGAAAGAAACAACGGAATTGCAGCTAGTGAGGGAAGTATCAATTGTACCACAATGCAAAAGGACCACCAAAGTTGATCACATTGCAAAAGGCCGCCGAAGCTCCTGTCATTATCGTCTTCTATTCTCTCCTCCCTATTCGCACTAGTAAGCTACAACCTAAGACATGTCTGATGACAAAGGTAATTATGGGATTACATGAGTGAAGCAACGATGGGATCACAACCAGAAGGATCGCAAAGGCTCCCTTCTTTCCTGCCTTCCACTCTATCCTCCCGGCTTACACTACTAGGACGGAACCCATGAAGAACCAACAGCGAAAATACAACGCACAATGATTCCTAAATATTGGTTAGGTTTTGGCTCTGATACCAAATATAAATTATTTCTTAAATAATCACTTCTATTAATTAAAGATTTGAGCTTATATAGAGCCTTACAACTTTCTTTACAAATAAATCTCTAGAATTCTCTTATATTTTCTATTTACAAATAAGATCCTAAATAGTATACAATTCTCGACATGATTAAAAGTTTTATA